AGAGCGGAAGGTGGTCTGGGCCTGGGGACTCCTTAATATATCTGTTGCAGGGATGATATACACTGACATGTATGTTGATCATTACATCTGACTCAAATAAGTAAAGCATCTACTTTATATATGCCTAAATATTTCCCAGAACCCAATTGCTGTAAAATGGTAACTTTTTGCTTTTCTTTTCAGGACTGGAAAACTTCTAAGCTCGTATTACAACATCACATACTGGCCACTCTGGTATATTGGTGAGTTTTCACAGCGTTTAAATTAGTTTTTGAGGGGATGAGAGGTTTCAGCCTTCAATTTTGTTGCTGGAGAAAGCATTTTGAAGGCAGGTTTTGTTTTTTAATACCAAAACTTCATTTTGCTTTCCTTTATCCCTCTGGATACTCTTGGGATTTCATCATTTTAGTGACAGGTAAGAGGATATTAACAGCTGTCTTAAGTATGTCTCATGAAAAGGCCTGAATAACTGTCTTCATACCTTAGATCTGGTTAATGTGCTCAGGAAGGCTTTAGGGAACAGTTTAGATTATACTACTGTGTTGTATTGTAGGGCTCCATGACGTTTCCCAATAATCAGAGTTTGTCTCAAATGAGTAGGCTCGAAACTGACTGTATCAAATACTATTAGAGGATGAAAAGGAGGAAGAGCGAGAGCAAAATTAGGAGATGAGTGGCAGAACATTTGGCGGAAGACACTTGATAAATAGGATATAAACCACTGCAATGAAGTTTCAACCTTTCTGGAAAATACCTTACACTTTTACAAATATGTACTACAGCTGCATAAACTAATTTCAGTAAAGAAAGGAAATTTATCTCTAATGGTTCTTGCATAAAAAGGTGAAGAAGTCTTACATCCTTGCTCAAACTGTCAGTTATTGGTAGCGCTAATAATGACCTATTTTTGATGTGTGTATGAACTTGTTTTTCCAAATAATTTACTCTTACTGTTACTCATGCTCATGCTACTTAGCATGATAAAAACCTTTTTGTTTGCTCTAGAACTTGCACTTGCATCCCTGTTCAGCCTCAATGCCTTATTTGATTTTTGGATGTACTTCAAATACACAATGGCACCAACGACCTTGGTCATGACTCATAGACAGCAGATCCTTCTAGGGATGGAGAATGCAGGTAGGTGTAATAAATACTTACGGTCATCTTGTTGTTGTTGTTGTTTTTGTTTTAAGATGGTCAAGTCCATGAATCTTTAGTGAATGGAGTTCTCAGTAACCTCATCTGACAAGAGCAGTAAGCTGAATTAGCTGCAGCTTATTAAAATTCAGAAGATTACTGATAATTTGATGAGTGATTGAGGGGAGAACTGGAAAGGAAACAAACAAACAATAAAAAAGGACAGTGGGCTGTTGAAGGGCAGTGAGAGAGACTCAGACTTTGTGAAGCTGGACAAAGCATTTGTAACCTATGCATGGGACTAAGAACAAGGCGGAGAGTGCAGGTTTATATTTAAATTTGATATCCTACTAATATCACACTGGCTAAAGAGAGCCGAATTAGAAAGAGAGACAGACGGATCTTAGTGTGCAGTCTGAAAATGGCAGACTAGAGAGCAGTCACTCTGCAAGCTTTTGGATGTCTAAGTGCAGTTATAAAATATAGAAGAACCTGACAAAGCTCTGACACATACAGCAAAAGCAAAATGCTAGTACAATATGTTGCACACCACTAGGCTGACTCCAGAAAAAGGTCAGCAGGTGGGAGTAGGGTTATATCACCAGAGTTCAAGGGCGTAATATCTCTGTCTGTGCAGGTAAATTAAGACATTAGGTGTGCTAAAGACGCATAAAGCAGGCAGGTACGGTAGCCAACCAAATAAGTTAAATGCTTACCCCAGGCTACGCAAGGTGTCTGGTAGCAATTAACTGAAATTTTTAGCTGTAGGATTTGTACTGAATTGAGGTCACATGTCTCGCTTTTCTGTTTGTTGATGTCAGTGACTTGGCTGCTGAATTCTGTAGGGGTCAGACTAGAATAATCTTTTTAGTGTCATAAAATTTCCATAAGACAGAGTTGTGTAAATGTGTTTTGCAGTGTATTTAAAGTGAGGAGGAGAGTTTTGGGTTGCTGCATCTGCAGGGCTAATTGTGTTTTTTCTACTTATTGCAGCGGTACAAATAACTCCACCGCATGAGCTGGCAGCGAAGAAAGTCCCTTCTTCTACACCTTCTCCTACAATCCAGGGTCAAAGTGTGCTCAGTTACAGCCCGTCCCGCTCCCCCAGGGCCAGTCCAAAGTTTGCTTCTGGTTGTATCGCAGGGTACAGCCCTCAGCTACAGGCCCTGTCAAGCAACAGTGCTTCTTACAGCAGTGCTTTAACCTATTCGCCAAATAGCAGCTACAGTAAGGTAATGACCAAGACAGCTCCAAGGGGAACAGTTTGGATTTGCTTGTCGTGTCCTTGTGTTGCGCCGTAAGCTATTGAAGGCGCGCGGCATGCAGCGGAGGGTCGCGTATGTGTGTTTGCTCCCTCTGCAAAGCAGATGGAAACTTGTTCTACCAGTGTTCGTCCTCTTTTTTTTTCAATTTATGTGTGTTAGAGTAGCTAGTTTTTCAGAGCTAAGCAAAAGAAACCAAAATGTAAATACAAAATGGCAAAAAACCTTCCCCCAAAACAGAGTATATTTTATAGCAGCAATCAACAGAGCAATAAATTCGTATGTTGAGTCAATTAATTCATGTAGTTTATAGAATCCAAGTGGAACTCTGATCTTCCTCATATGACAGAACTGTTTGCTTTTGTTCTCCAAAGCTTTCCAGCTTCAGCCCCTCTCCTAGTGGTTCACCATATCCTGCAAGTGTTGGACCCGTGGAAAGCAGCGGGCTCCGCTCTCGTTATCTCTCTTCACCAATTCTGTATAATTCCCGTATTGGCCAAGAAGACGAAATCACAGACCTTAAGTCACTGCAAAAGTACCTTCGAAGTGAAGAGGAGAAACAGCATAGGCTTCAGTTGGGTAAATAACCATCCTCATATAGCTTGAAAAGTTTCGCAAGGAGAGGATGTTGATTTTATTTAAGAGTTGTTTTTGTGATGAGAAAAGTTGCAAAGACTTTCAGCAAGAAGAGAGAGCTGGAGGAGTTATTGTAAATACACCTAACTCATACACACGGTAGTCACTTGTGAAATTTGTAAAGGTGGCTGCTGACCAGTTTAGTCTTCTACCAAGCAATTAAGACATGAGGCAGAATTTGGTAATGTCTACGTGTCTCTGTGGCTTAGGAGCTTCAGAAAATTCTCCTCCATTGCCTTGTACTGGATAGAAATATGCTGCTGTCACTGGCCCAAGAAATGGGTCTTACGGAAATGTATGCTGATCGACTATCTCTGTAGCATTTGTTGGCTGTAGTGGACTGTGGTAAGATGAAGGGCTTTATCACCTTGATGAGAGGGATATCTTGTGGAGAAGGCATTTCAGATAAAGGTGGAGAATTACCTGCAGGCCCTTTTTTGTCCTGGATAGAGACGATGCCTTATTAACATAAAGATGAAATTGGTGTTTATGCAGACTGACTTGTGTGTGTGTATTCATGATAATTCGTGAGCGTGTCTCTGCCTTCAAAGCCTTAATATATTGACCTGTTGCCTGTACTGTTGCTTTTGTGTTTACGCGGTGATAATTGTACAGCACTGTTTAATGTCATTTCAGGGAGTTCAGATTCCAGCTCTCCTTCCAGCAGCCCAACTTTTTGGAACTACAGCCGTTCCATAGTAGAGCAAGCACAGGTGCTGAGAAAGTTCCAGTATCAGCTGTCTTGCAGGTCCCAGGCTCCATCAGCGCACAAGGACGAAGCTCACCTGAGCTCTCCACAGGCTGCAGAAGAAGTAAGTTCAGCACCAAAGGAGCCAAGAGGGAAAAACGGGGCTCTAAAAGAAAATGTGTAGCTCCATCCAAAAGTTTGGATGTGAGCTCCATCAACAGTGTTAGAAAGACAGGGAAAAATTCCATAGCATTTAACCGTCCTCACACGACTTGTAAGACTCACTGGAGTGCATTTCAAATTCTGAATTGTAATTGGAGAATGATTTCTCCCTTGGAGAGCGAGGTACCTGTATTTAGGTAGAAAAGTGGCTCCTGAGAGAATTTTCGGTTTCGTGCTATCCTGCAGTTTGGACCAGTTTTATCCTAGTAGAGCAGGGAGCTCAAAACTGTGAATTTGGACTTAGGCAAGATTTAGTGTACTGTGAAAGGAGCGTAGGAGTGTAGTATGTTAAGCTGCTGTAGAATTCACGTGATGCAGCCAGTAGATGTATGAGAGTTCTGGAACAAATGCAATTTGAACTATGCGCTGTGGTTGGGATCAGAAAACGTCTTAGGCCCTGAAAACTCTTCTGGTATTCTGTTAAGTTGCTGTACGTGGATAATAATCTTCTTTCCATAGGTTTGGGCAAGGGTGATTGTGAATCGACGACAGCTTGACCACATGGACTCCTGGACCGCTAGGTTCAGAAGTGTAAGTCCTGTCTCTATAGCCTGCCTGTTCTTGTTGGGATAGGTAGAGCAGAATGAAAAAGTACCTCAAAGTCCCACGTCTGCCTAAGGAGGTGAAAAGAATTGTATATTTGAGTCTATTTGAGGATTAGGTAATTATTGTTGTTCTTTTGGGCTTTTTTGTTTTTTAAGTAGCGAGGCGAGTGAAGAGCAAAGATTTTTCTGAGAACTGGGATTATGACTGTTCTGTGTCAGATTCCTAAGCATCTGTTCATAAACCTGCAGGCAGCTTGGCTTCAGTTCCCGAATCTTGTTGCATGCAACTGCCGCATACAGTGTTTGTAGCAGACTCTTGATGTCCTGAAACAGATTTAAGAGGAAGTGGACCATGAAAGTATAAATCAACTCTAGGAATGATGTGCTGTGCTTCATAAAAACACTTTTCTCATTGTTCAGAAAAGCTTTATCGATAACTTTCTAGGAATTTGTTTCCCAAATCCTTTATATTGAACTTTCTGTCATTTCAGATGAAATTAAAGAGTCATTTAAACCCTGTCTAAATTGATATTCTAATTTAATCACTTTTCTTCCGTGGTTGCCTTCAACGTTTCTGTTGTTAAGCCCCTTTGTGATTGTAACAGTGATGAAGATAATGGCTAGGGTGTAAACTAACGTTTTTTTCCTCATGTTCTTGTTGCTTCTAACCTTTTTAATTTTTGCATTTCTCTTTCCTAGTGGATTAATGAGACAATTTTAGTGCCACTCGTGCAAGAGATTGAGTCTGTGAGCACTCAGCTGAGAAGAATGGGGTACCCAGAAATGCAGATTGGAGGTAGGTTGATACAGTAGCTTTGGGGTTCCCTGTGGTGGTTGGCAGAGGGCCGCCCCGAGCAGGGCACTGAATAGGTACTATAGAAAAGAAGTCTGCTGAGGATTACTGTTCCATTCGCTCTCTGTATTGATGTGATCTTTGTTTCGTGTAACGCATTTTGTTCAACTGGAAGGGTTCTTTGTAAGATTTCTGGAGATATTGGTGAAGGCATGCTGATGCTCATACAGTATACAATTCTTAAGCCTCTTGTTTTATCTGAATTTATCCCTGGAGAGTTAAAGGCTCAAATTAGCATCCTTATTATATATTAAACTGTTAGAAAACTATTACGCACTGGAAGGATAGCTGCCTGTCAACTCTCGCTGTTTACATTAGTATATGTTTTCCCAAACTCTTCCTCAAAATCAGCTACTTCCTGAAAAACCTACTGCTGTTACTTCCTTGAATTGTTACCCGTTATCTAGTCTCAAAGCAGACAGGCCACTAAATCGTTTATGAAAACTTAGGTGTGATTCATTATATGCAAATACTGCTAAGAACTGAGAAATATTATTGTGCCTGGAATAATATTAAATCCACAGGCCTGGGAAGTCTTTTTATTTTTTTTTTTTTTTTTAAACTTAGAACAATTCTGTTATCTCAGATATACATTTAATCCTTTACATTTAAGATCCTTTGTACTAGATGTAGCACTATCCCCCTGATGTTTTGGGGTTGGGGAGGACCATCTTGGGTGGATTTTACAGAGCTATGAGCATTAGAAGAAATGATCTTTTTGTTGAGGGCAGTAGTTTTTTGCTGGTGGTGGGTTTTTTTTTTCTTTCTTTTACGTTCTGATGAGATGGAATTCTATCTATAATTTCAGGGTACAACTCTGAAGGAACTACTTCCATTCTCATATTACATGTATATCCCCTTAACCGAGAGCAGGATTTGCTATGCTGCGTTTAAAAAAATCCTTTTTTTTTTTTTTTTTTTTTTGGCCTATTTGTCGTCTCCCCTCAAGAACTGCATCTCTTGTGATACCTGTGGAAAACTGATCATCTCCACCTAGCTGCTCTCCTGCTGCTCTTTAAAATAGATATTCCTTCTTCCCTTTTTCACACTCTGTGTGTTTCCATTTTCTTATGGAATGCAAGTCCTTCAGATAAGGGACTCTCTTCTTTTGTGACTGCACAGCGCTGTGTAGCGTTTATATTCTGTAGTGTAAGGGAGGCAGCTACTACTTCACTGGGATTAGAAATGAGCATTTAGGATACTGTGTAACATGTTAACTTTAGCTAGGACCTTAGTAAATAGTGAGACAAAAAAGCAAGTTCCTCTTTGTAACAGTGCATTTGTTAACGCCTTGTAAGGGAGACTGTTCAAAGTTCTGTCGTGGGCGCAGATGACGTGCTGGCTCTTCTTGCATGCAGAAGCCAGCATCAGCAGTCTGAAACAGGCAGCGCTTGTTAAAGCTCCACTGATTCCGACTCTGAACGCTATAGTGCAGTATTTGGATATTACACCGAACCAAGAGTATTTGGTTGAAAGGATCAAAGGTACGTGGTCGCTATACTGACTTTAAAACATTTTCAGTTAGCTGGGTCGAGTGTCGGTGGTGTCAGTACCCCGTCAATTAAGATGTTTGAACTACAGGCACAGGAGGGAGGAGAGCTGCTTTTCAAGTAGCAGAGGTTTTTTTTGTTCCAACTTCCTCTTTTTATAACAATGTAATGATGTGGGACTTGCATATAACTTTTGGAATGTTTTTAGAAGTCTTACTTCCCGTTTCACTCCGGTGTGTTTGGGGTATGAAGTCTCATGTTTAATCCCTTTGTTAATTGCAAATAAAAATTACCTTGTAAACTCAACCCCTCTAAATATATATCTCTACAAGCATTTCGTTAGTTGAAGTCTTCCTATTTTTTGCACTGGAAATATGTATGATGTTCTCAAAGCTAGCGTCAAATAGTTCTTCCTTGCACCTTCAACCCCCCAAGTAGCTGAATGAAGTTTGTTGTTTTCAGAGCTTTCTCAGGGAGGATGCATGAGCTCATTCCGATGGAACAGAGGAGGAGATTTCAAAGGCCGTAAGTGGGACGCTGACTTGCCCACTGACTGCGCTGTAAGTTTTCAAAGATGGCTTGACGTAACTTCCTCAAGTGGGTCTTTCAGCATAGATTTTGTGGGTGGCAGCGAATAAGTCTTTTGAGAAACATGGTCAAAATCCTGTTTGCCTCACTTATCCTGATAATCCCGTTGTGGTCAGTGAAATTACATGAAGAATAATGCAAACGGGATTGGACATTGTGCAGATCACCAAAATGCAATCGTATGCCTTAGTCTTAGGCCAGCCTCATATTTAGACTCTCTGAGATGTCAGTCAGGTAACTGTGGGAAGCAGCCTGACAGGTAGGGATCTTGTTGGAGCAATTTTCCCTGCTATATTATAATAAAAAAAAAAAAAAAGTCTGCCTTAACCAAACCTCATAATTTCTAATGCAAGAAGAACCTTCCACCTTCTTCTAATTTTCCTTTGCTGCAATGGATAGAGGAACAAACGTAGACTGAGTAGTTGTGCTTAGCCAATTAATGCAAAAGGTCAGGAGAAAAGCAGTTCAGTACACACAGCGACTTGAAAATTCAACTGAAATAACTAAAAGAAAGGCCACAAGACAATCCAGGGAGTGGGAAACAAGCTTTACAGTGCGACTCTTCAGTTGAACTCTCTATTTGAAAGGAGAGTTAGGGTGACTTTTTTCACTATATATAGATACTCAGTTACTGGGGAGAAGAAGAAACAGGAGATCTGAACGTACGAGCTTTACACCTTTGCTGACAAAGATATAACGAGATTGAATTGCTGGAAGCTAAAGTTGAACAAAATCTGTCTTGAAATAGGTTTTAATTTTCTAGTTGTGAAGATGACTAAATATTTAGGATTGACTCGCTGGGAAGCAGCTCTTGCTATCTTGGCAGACAGCAAGCTGAAAGCTTAAAAGTGTTAAAGATCGTAAGACAGAACATCACACCCTGAAATTCAGTGACTTTTACCAAAACCAACTAAAGAGAGTTAGTATTGGAACAATATATTACACTTCTAAAGATTCTGGGAAAGAAGTTCTGATACAACAGGTGAACTGAACACAAGTGCTTGTCCTGAAGCTTTGACATGAATTTACTCAAGGCAATAAATGCAAAATTAAGAGTTTATTACAGTAGTGTTAGTCTCATGACATGCAGTATAAAGCAATGATTTCCGCCAGGCTTCTTGAGGCTTTGGGGCGTTTAGGCCATAGAAATTCTTTTGCTTTGTCTGCAAAACAAATCATGTTACATACATTGAACATATGAGGTATCATATAACAGAGTAATTTGGTGGCATTGCGCATGTAGAATGTTGAGGACTCTAAGGGTTAAAACATATAACATGCGGTGTTGCAATTTTTTCACTGTTAAGTAAGAAGAAACTTGTTCTAGCAGTTTCTTCCAATATCTTGGCATAGCTGGTAAGATTTGTGGGCAGCTCAAGTTTTTTCAGTGATTTTTTTTTGTTTTGCCATTTTTGAGGAGAGAGGATAAACTTGCTAGACAGGTGTCATGCTTAGAAAAGTTATAATTAGGTTGGATCTGCCGTTCTAAGCCAAATCCTTGCAGCTAGTATATCGTTATATCAGATGGCTTGTAGTTTATGCCGTATATTTGCTATTAAGATCCGTGGCTTTGTCATACTCTGTAAGATGTGAAGATGAAGTTACTTGTGTGTGAACTGAGCTCCTGACACAGAGCACCCTTTTATCACCTTGTGACCGAAACTGTTTCGCTTACAGGAAAAAATGAAGCTGTCTTTACGACAGTGGCATGCCTTGGACCGTTGAATTCAGTGCTTTAAGTGTTAAGCTGCCTTGGGCTTCTAAACATGGTGGGATTAAGTC